GGGAAATTGTGTGAAGTGTTCTTGCCTCCACCTGTAGTCTACAACTGGAGTGGGCGGAGTAACTGTTATCATTTACATAGCACATTTAATTGCAACGCTGTTGCACAGTTACATTAAACCATACATTTATAAAAACATTAGCAGGTGTTCAAAAGGCCCTGTCTATGACATCACTTGCTGCTGCAGCTTGACACAGGTGAGAGTATTTTGGCGGTTGCCATCTTCAAACGGTCGTATCTTAAAAACTGTAACTCCTACAGTGAAGAGCTTTATATTGTGAGAATCACAAGACCCAGACCTACATTTTGATGCATAGTATGTCTCTGAAGTATTAAAATTGAAGGCACAGTCGCAGTTTAGAAATTGCACTTCAAATTTGAGCTTTGCAGAGTGAAGTTTCAACGAAAGTCAATGGACGGCGTTAGTTGCAAACAAATGATTATATTGTGAAAACTATCAGGACTATGGCTTAGCCGTTGACATGTTTAGTGGCAGGAGGGATAGCTGAACGTTTTGATATAAGATTTGTGTAGGTGGGTCTGAAAATAAGGGAGTGGTGGCAGTTTAGAAATCATGTCCTGATTTTTCAGCTTTTGCCAGCTCCCACTCTAGCTTTGCCATTCATTCCTATGGGACAAATTTCGCCACAAGAACAACGATATTCCGTGAACCATTCGGCGAAACGTTCCACAAAGTAATAGCAATCCGATCGAGAACATTCTGCACGTTTTGGTAAATTTTTGTCTATGTAGTGTAAAAACTGTGGGAGGAGTTAGGGTGGCAAATTTTGCTATAATAATAATAAGAATAATAATAATAATATATATGTGAGATAACATTAAGTGGTCTTGCTATGCAAGAACACTTAATAATAATAATATATATATGTGAGATAACATTAAGTGGTCTTGCTATGCAAGAACACTTAATAATAATAATAATATATATGTGAGATAACATTAAGTGGTCTTGCTATGCAAGAACACTTAATAATATATATGTGAGATAACATTAAGTGGTCTTGCTATGCAAGAACACTTAATAATATATATGTGAGATAACAATAAGTGGTCTTGCTATGCAAGAACACTTAATAATAACAGTAACCATATTCAAAAGTAGTTTGTAGCACAAACAGTTAATTTGACTGACAGGTACAAGCTAATGCAGCAGTTTGTCAAGACCCTTCCCACTCGCATACAATGCACTGTGGCAGCTATACCATAATGTGCAGAGGGTGTCAGCAGAGACATCATTCAGGGAAATTGAAATGTGATAGCTAGGCAGGCTGAGCCCATTGTTGACAGACCTGAGACTGATAGATCTGTACTTGGGAGGGGAGGACGGGCGGTACTTTACTGAACTGATATGGATAAAAATAAATATCATCCAGTCTGACAGTGTTGGGGCAAGGTGAATTCCATGACTTCCTGGTAGAATTTAACATAAGTACAGGTATACATATTGATATATTGCAAGTATACATATTAATATTTTACATGTGTACATATTAATATAATACAGGTATACATATTGATATAATACAGGTATACATATTGATATATTACATATTGATATAATACAGGTATACATATTGATATATTACATAATAATTACAGATGTACATATCAGTATATTACATATTGATATATTACAGGTATGCATATCAATATATTACAGGTGTACATATAGGCATATTACATATTGATATATTACAGGTGTACATATCGATATATTACATATTGATATATTACAGGTGTACATATCCATAGACTACATATTGATGTATTACATGTGTACATATCGATATATTACATATTGATAAATTACAGGTGGACGTATTGATATTTTACAGTTAAACCTATTGATATAATACAGGTATACATATTGATATAGTACAGTTGTACATATCTATATATTACATATAGATATAATACAGGTGTACATATTATTATGATCATTATTATTATGTTATTATTTATATAGCGCCAACGAATTCCGCAGCGCTTTACAGTGGGTGGACGAACAAACATGTAGTTGTAACCAGACAAGTTGGACACACAGGAACAGAGGGGTTGAGGGCCCTGCTCAATGAGCTTACATGCTAGAGGGAGTGGGGTAAAGTGACACAAAAGGTAAGGATAGTATTAGACTAATGACAGTTGCAAGAGAGGAATCAGTTGGGAGCTATTAACAGTTCAATTGATACGCTTTTATGAAGAAGTGGGTTTTTAATGATTTTTTGAAGGAGTGGAGACTGGGTGAGCATCTAACGGAGGAGGGAAGTGAGTTCCACAGGAACGGTGCAGCCCTCGAGATGTCTTGAAGGCGAGCATCAGAGGTGGGAGTACGGACAGAAGATAAACGTTAGTCTTCAGCAGATTGTAAGGGCCTAAACGGGACATACTTGTGTATAAGGGAGGATAGATAGGTGGGAGCAGCATTATGTAGAGATTTGAAAGCAAGAACCAGAATTGTAAATTGAGCCCTATATCTTACAGGAAGCCAATGTAGGGACTGACACATATCGATATATAACAGGTATACATATCGATATATAACAGGTATACATATCAGTATATTACATATTGATATATTACAGGTGTAAATATTGATTCATTAAAGGTGTAAATATCGATGTATTACAGTGTTATATATTGATACATTACAGGTATACATATTGATATACTACAGGTGTATATATTGATATATTACATGTGTACATATTGATACATTACAGGTGTATAATATATTAAGATGTACATCTGTAAAACACAATATACATAAATTACTCTTTTCACAGACACATCAAATACAGCACAAGCATGACACCCCAATTTCACACCCAGATCACCTATGCATGCTAGCACTCACTTCCACTACACGTGTACTTTTAGCACACACAATACCTACATCACAGTCATGCATATGACATCTAGAACCCACATTTACTAACTATCACATATAGCACTCATGCAAAAATGGGGGTTCTACATGGATTTCACAACATGCTTCCAAATGTTCATCACAGCACACGAAGAACATGAAAAAATATACTAAATCTAACGCACTAACATGAATATCACATCACATACTGAACCTAGATGCGTGTAGCATACATATGGTACTCACATTCATAAACAATAGCCCATAGAACATATGTATCGTATCATGCAAAAGAAACGTATTAAACTTATTTTTGAGGGTAGTATCTGGCAATTATTTATCATTGGTTTCTTACCTACCAAGCATATACAGTGTGTGAAAGATGAATATATATAATTTAAGGCCAACATATATACATGATTCTATGGCAGTGAGGAAGCTCATAAGAAGAATAGGCAGACCCTAGACACCAGCCAGTGCATAGGTAGCAAATAGCAGGCAGCAGTATGCAGTAGATAAGGGCTTCGTGAAAACTAGCTCTTTCCAAGTGTGTATTTTTCATGGTTAAAAATTGATAATGAGTACTTAATACTCAGTATAAGCAACACACATTAAGTAATCTATACCAAAAATGTTAGCAGTCGTGCTATGCACACTGTAGTATAATGTGAAATATTAATACTATTATTTAGATTTAACATGGATTTGAAATATTAATGTGTGTAATTTATTTGATAAAATATATTTGAATGATTTTGAAAACAATAATTCTGACAAATGCTTTAATTCTAAAATAGCTGGGTAAGTCGCCGGCATTACCCTCTCTTATGTTTAAGGCTATATGTGTATATGATCATCTACCCAGTTATGAATAATTTTCAGATACGTGTTGCAATCCAATGTGGAGATTTTTATTGGCCTAATACTGACAGTTACTTCCTGGTGTCAAACACAGTTCTGGAGCTGTGCTGCATTGTGTTGGGTATGAAGGCCCTGTATAGAGCTGTTTCAGTGTCACTTGTTCTGCTTGTCATTATAGTGGTCCCTGCGATTAATTCCCTGAATCCTGAGAAGGGAGGTGGGTGAAACTAATTCTCCTTATGTCAGGAGAAAGGGGGCTGTGGGGGCGGCTTTGCACCCCCGCTGATTTCCATCGCGGGAAAGTGCTCTCATAAATAACATTTATTTCTGCACTTTTGATTAACAAGAAAGAGACTGAAATGGGTTACAATTATAGCTGTCACATCCTAATATCTTAATGCACACCAATAATTCACCAGCTCGCAGGGACCTGTGTGTGTGTGTGT